GAAGCGTGGAGGCCTCTTTTCTTTCTTTCTTTCTTTCTTCCTTTCTTCCTTCCTTCCTTCCTTCCTTCCTTCCTTCCTTCCTTCTTTCTCCAAATTGTTGGGATGGGGTTAAGACAAGCAGCTTTCTCTTTCTTTCTTTCTTTCTTTCTTTCTTTCTTTCTTTCTTTCTTTCTTTCTTTCTTTCTTTCTTTCTTTCTTTCTTTTGTTCTTTCTTTCGTTCTTTCTTTCCTTCCTTCCTTCTTCTATTTTTCTTTCTTTCTAATGTAAAGTTTTAGTCCCACCTAAGGTATGAAAGCCAATTGGTTCACTTTGAGCCAATCACCAGGAGATGGTGAGTTCTAGTCCTGCCTTAGGCATGAAAGCCAATCGGTTAACTTTGAGCCAATCACCAGGAGATGGTGAGTTTTAGTCCAGCCTTAGGCATGAAACCAATTGGTTCACTTTGAGCCAATCACCAGGAGATGGTGAGTTTTAGTCCAGCCTTAGGCATGAAAGCCAATCGGTTAACTTTGAGCCAATCACCAGGAGATGGTGAGTTTTAGTCCAGCCTTAGGCATGAAACCAATTGGTTAACTTTGAGCCAATCACCAGGAGATGGTGAGTTTGTCCAGCCTTAGGCATGAAACCAATTGGTTCACTTTGAGCCAATCACCCGGAGATGGTGAGTTTTAGTCCAGCCTTAGGCATGAAACCAATTGGTTCACTTTGAGCCAATCACCAGGAGATGGTGAGTTTTAGTCCAGCCTTAGGCATGAAAGCCAATCGGTTAACTTTGAGCCAATCACCAGGAGATGGTGAGTTTTAGTCCAGCCTTAGGCATGAAACCAATCGGTTAACTTTGAGCCAATCACCAGGAGATGGTGAGTTTGTCCAGCCTTAGGCATGAAACCAATTGGTTCACTTTGAGCCAATCACCAGGAGATGGTGAGTTTTAGTCCAGCCTTAGGCATGAAACCAATTGGTTCACTTTGAGCCAATCACCAGGAGATGGTGAGTTTTAGTCCAGCCTTAGGCATGAAAGCCAATCGGTTAACTTTGAGCCAATCACCAGGAGATGGTGAGTTTTAGTCCAGCCTTAGGCATGAAACCAAGTTAACTTTGAGCCAATCACCAGGAGATGGTGAGTTTGTCCAGCCTTAGGCATGAAACCAATTGGTTCACTTTGAGCCAATCACCAGGAGATGGTGAGTTTTAGTCCAGCCTTAGGCATGAAACCAATTGGTTCACTTTGAGCCAATCACCAGGAGATGGTGAGTTTTAGTCCTGCCTTAGGCATGAAACCAATTGGTTCACTTTGAGCCAATCACCAGGAGATGGTGAGTTTTAGTCCAGCCTTAGGCATGAAACCAATTGGTTCACTTTGAGCCAATCACCAGGAGATGGTGAGTTTTAGTCCTGCCTTAGGCATGAAACCAATTGGTTCACTTTGAGCCAATCACCAGGAGTTGGTGAGTTCTAGTCCCGCCTTAGGCATGAAAGCCAATCGGTTAACTTTGAGCCAATCACCAGGAGATGATGAGTTCTAGTGTCGCCTTAGGCATGAAAGCCGTCTGGGTGACTTTGGACCAGTCCCTCTTTCCCTCTCGGCCCAGCCTACCTCACAGGATTGTTGTGGTGGGGAAAACAGGAGGAGAAAGGAGTACTGGGCATCCCCTGGAACTATTTATATATATATAAAAATGAATAACCCAGCATTACGGGCTTCTCAAAGGGAGCTGGGTCTTTGCATTGATCGATCGATTATGTACTACCGATAGTCCTCAACTTAACAACAGTTCATTTAGTGACAGAAGATACAACGGCGTGGGGAAAAAAAGCTACCTATGACAGCTTTTCACACTTAATGACCATTGCCGCAGGCCCCCCCCCGGGGTCACGTGATCAAAATCCAGACGCTTGGCAACTGACTCAAGAGTTGTGACGGTCGCAGGGTCCCAGGGCCACGTGCTGGAAAAATGAGAATATACCATCACAGAAAGAAGTGATAAGAAAAATCCTGGACTGTGCAGAGATGGACAAATTAACAAAAGAGATAAAAGAAAAGGAAGACACAGAGTACTATCTAGCATGGAACAAGTGGTCTGACTGGTGGGAGACTAGAAATAATAGAGGAGAATAAATGTGGAAAGGTCAAAAGTGAAAATGTGTGTATAATAATGTATAATAATAATAATATGAATTATTCTTAGTAAGAAGTAGAGTATGAAGGAAGAAAAAATGTAAATAAGAAACAACGGGGCAATAAGGACAAATATTTTAAAGAAGAATAAGGGGGAGAAATGTAAATAATAGAAGATTACCGTTACATAATCGCTGTTAAAAAAAGGGGGGGAAGAGTATATACTGTGTATGTATGTGTGTTTTGTTTTGTTGGTTTAAAAATTATATATATATTTGTTGTTGCTGTTAATTGCGAAGTCGTGTCCGACCCATCGCGACCCCATGGACAACGTTCCTCCAGGTCTTCCTGTCCTCTACCATCTTCTGGAGTCCATTTAAGTTCACACCTACTGCTTCAGTGACTCCATCCAGCCATCTCATTCTCTGTCGTCCCCTTCTTCTATTGCCCTCCATCTTTCCCAGCATTAGGCCCTTTTCCAGTGAGTCCTTCCTTCTCATTAGGTGATATATATATATATATATATATATATAGTTGTGACGGTCGCAGGGTCCCAGGGCCACGTGACCCCCATTTGCAACCTTGCGACAAGCAAAATCAATGAGGAGGAAGTCCAATTCGCTTAACAACCGGGTTACTGATTTAACAACTGCACGGACTCGCTTAACGACTGGGGCAGAGGTCGTAAAATGGGGCAAAATTCCGTGAACAACTCTCTTGTTTAGGACTACCTCCAAAAAAGGCGCCTTGTTGACCCTACAAGTTGTTTCTTCCCTGACTTACATTTGCTACCAAGGAATACTTTACAAAAATAAGAATTGGTTACCTTCTAGCTCAATGGTTCTCAACCTTTTTAATGCCGCGACCCCCCAACCGGTCGTAAGTCGAGGACTACTCAACCGGTTGTAAGTTGAGGACTACTCAACTGGTGCAGCACCGTTTGCAGAATGGGACTTTTGGCGGGCTCAGCAGGGCAGAGACAGCCTGGACAATTCCTATTGGCTTTTGAAAGCCAATAGAATTAGACTCTATTCAAGAGAGTCTATTCTATTGGCTTTCAAAAGCCAATGGAATAAAAGGGAGGAGCACAGCTAAGGAAAAGGGGGAAAAAATGGCGGACTGCGTTGTTTGGTGACCCCCGAGAAATGGTCGTTCGACCCCAAATGGGGTCCCGACCCACAGGTGGAGAACCACTGCTCTAGCTGAAACCTCCTTATTTCAAAAGTAAACATAACAAGAGATGGTTGTAAATCTGTTGGGATTTCCAGATTTGGAGATGGGGTCCACCGCCTACATTATAATGAGGGATGTGAGTGGAGAGAGTTAACTTTTGCTGCTGGTAATCTAGTCTCTCCTATCCAAATTTCAGAATTTATTTATTCCAATATAGTATTCCAGTTCATTCGGTGACTGGGAAGGGAAGGAAAGAAAAAAAGGGGGAAAGAAGGAGAGGAAAGAGAGGGAAAGGGAAAGAAAGGGAAGGGGAAAATAGAGAAAAGAAAGGAGAAAGAAAGGGAAGGGAAAATTAGGAAGAGGAAAAGGGAAGGAAAAAGAGGGAAAGGAAACGAAAGGAAAAAGAAAGGGAAGGGAAAAATAAAGAAGGGAAAGAAAAGAAGAAAAAGGAAAGGAAAAGGGAGAGGGAAGAAGGGAAAGGGGAAAGAAAGAGAAAAAGAAGGAAAGGAAAAAGGGAAGGGAAGGAAACGAGAGGGAAAAGAAAAGAAAAAGAAGGGAAAAGAGAAAGGGGAAAAGGGAAGAGAAGGAAAAGGGGAAAGGAGGAAAGGAAACAAGAGGGAAAGGAAAAGAAAGGGAAGGGAAAAGAAGGAAAAAGGGAAGGGAAGGAAAGGAAGGGGAGGGAAAAATTGAAAGCAAAGGAAAAGAGAAAGGAAAAAGGGAAGGAAAAGGGGAAAGGAGGAAAGGAAACAGAAGAGGGAAAGGAAAAGAGAGGGAAGGGAAAAGAAGGGAAAAGGGAAGGAAAGGAGGAAACAAGAGGGAAAAAGGAAAAGGAAAAGAAAAAGAAGGGAAAAGAGAAAGGGGAAAAAGGGAAGAGAAGGAAAAGGGGAAGAAGGAAAGGAAACAAGGGGAAAAGAGAAGAAAGGAAAAAAAAGGAAGGGAAGGAAAGAAGAAGGGAACGGGGAAAGAAAGGGAAAAAATAAAGAAAGGAAAAAGGGGAGGGAAGGGAAGGAAAGGGAAGAGAGAAAGGGAAGAAAGAGAAGAGAAGGAAAAGGGGAAAGGAGGGAAGGAAACAAGGGGAAAAGAGAAGAAAGGAAAAGAGGAAAGGGAAGGGAAAGGAAGGGGAGGGAAAAATAGAGAAAGCAAAGGGAAAATAAAAGGAAGGGAAAAGAGGAAAAGAGAGGGAAGGGAAAAGAGGAAAAGAGAGGGAAGGGAAAAGAGGGAAAGGAAACAAGAGGGAAGGGAAGGAAAAGGGGGAAAGGAGGAAAGGAAACAAGGGGAAAAGAGAAGACAGGAAAGGGGGGAAGGGAAGGGAAAGGAAGGGGAGGGAAAAATAGAGAAAGCAAAGGGAAAAGGAAGGGAAGGGAAAAGAGGAAAAGAAAGAAGAAGGGAAAGGGAAAAACAGAGGAAGGAAACAAGAGGGAAGGGAAGGAAAAGGGGGAAGGGAGGAAAGGACCCAGAAGAGGAGAAGAGAGGGGAGGGGAAAGAGGGAGGGGAAGGGAGGCCTTCTGCAGGGACCCTCCTCCTCCTCCGCCGCCGCCTTGCAAGGCTCCCCCGCGGCCGCTCGACGTCGCCCTCCGTCCCGCCTGCGCCTCGGCCGCCTCTTCCCCGCCAGGGAGGGAAGGAGGGAAGGAGGGAGGCGCGCCGGAGGAGGAGGAGGAGAAGCCGCCGCGGCCGCCGCCGGAGGGGCCGGAATTGGCTGCTGGGAGGGCGCAGCGGGCCGGGCGGCGTTTCCGGAGGCGGCGGCTGCTCCTGCGGGCTGGAGCCGCGCTCGATCGCTCGGGAGGCGGCCGGGGAGCCGCGGCAGGTAAGCCCGGCGCGCAGCATCCCCCCCCCCGCCCGCCAGCCCCCTCCCCCGGGAGGCTCCGGCACGGGGGGAGAAAGGGGGGGTGTCTTTGCGGTGGGGGGAGTCCGGAGAGGGGAGGGGAGGGCCTGTTGGGGAAGCCCCTTCCCTCCCTCCCTTTCCTCTTTTTCTTTCCCTCCCTCCCTCTTTTTCTTTTCCTCTCTGCCCTTCCACTAATCCTCTGTTGCCTTCCTCCCCTCCCTCTTCCCTGTCCTTTTCTTCATCCTAACCCTTCCTTCCTCCCCTCCCTCTTTCCTCTTCCCTGTCCTTTTCTTCATCCTAACCCTTCGCTATTTCCTTCCTTCCTCCCTCCCCTCTTCCCTTCCCTTCCCTCCCTCCCTTCCCTTTCCTTCCCTGTCCTTCCATTAACCCTTCTCTATTTCCTTCCTTCCTTTTCCTCCCCTCCCTTGTCCTTTTCTTCATCCTAACCCTTCTCTATCTCCTTCCTTCCTTCCCCTCCCTCTTCCCTTCCCTCCCTTCTCTGTCCTTCCATTAACCCTTCTCTGTTTCCTTCTTTCCTTCCTTTCTTCCCCTTCCCTGTCCTTTTATTCATCCTAACCCTTCTGTATTTCCTTCCTTCCTTCCTTCCCTCTTCCCTTCCCTTCCCTCCCTCCCTTCCCCTTCCTTCCCTGTCCTTCCATTAACCCTTCTCTATTTCCTTCCTTCCTTCCTTCCTTCCTTCCCCTCCCCTCCCCTCTCCTGTCCTTTTATTAATCCAACCACTATTTCCTTCCTTCCCCCCTCTTCCCATCCCTTCCCTCCCTCCCTTCCCCTTCCTTCCCTGTCCTTTTACTAATCCTAACCCTTCGCTATTTCCTTCCTTCCTTCCCTTCCCTCCCTTCCTCCCTTCCTTCCCTGTCCTTCCATTAACCCTTCTCTATTTCCTTCCTTCCTTCCTCTCCCCTTCCCTGTCCTTTTACTAATCCTAACCCTTCACTATTTCCTTCCTTCCCCTCCTTCTTCCCTTCCCTCCCTCCCTTCCCCTTCCTTTCCTGTCCTTCTCTATTTCTTTCCCCTCCCCTCCCCTTCCCTTTCCTTCCCTGTCCTTTCATTAACCCTACCCCTTCACTATTTCCTTCCTTCCTTCCTTCCTCCCTCCCTCCCTCCCTCCCTCCCTCCCTCCCTCCCTCTCACCACCACCCAATTCCTCCCTCCATCACAAACACCCCCTTTCTGCCCTGGGGGGGCAGTTGCGGAAGGAGGGGTCACCTGCCAGTCCCCATCTCTGGCTTGGGCATCCCCATTGTCTCCCTTTACAGACAGCCCCCCCACCCCCACCTCTTCCCGGTTCGGATCCTGGGCCTTGGATGCTTCCGATCTTGGGATGTGGGGCTCTTCGACTTTCCCCTCCTCTTTGGGGAGCAGTGGGGGAGGGGCTTTTCCGGGGGGGGGGGAAGCAGAAAGACAACCTGGGGGTTAAATGACACTGCATCTTCAAGAGAGACCTAGAGGGAGGGACAGAAAGATTGGCTCCAGAACCAAAAAAGGGGACACCCACCCAGCGCTGGCCAGCGGATGTAAGGTGGGGGGAAAGAGGAAGTGGGGGGGGTCCCCTTCCCATTTTGCATTTTCAGAAAAGGACCTCTTGGTTTTTACTCTTTCACTCCATTTAATTCCTGTCGTTCTGGGGTTTATAGATAGATAGATAGATAGATAGATAGATAGATAGATAGATAGATAGATAGATAGATAGATTTGATAGATAGATAGATAGATAGACAGACAGACAGACAGACAGACAGACAGACAGACAGACAGACAGACGGATAAATGTTCTTATTTTATTGCATTGCAAGCCCCCCCGCCTCTCAATGATGGGACGGGCGGCGTATAAATTTAATAAAGAAAAGAAAAGCTGTTGGCTCTGCGCAGAAGGGCTTCTCCCTCCAACCCACCCCCTTTTTACCTCCCCACAATTCTTTCACAGCCTGGAAGGGGTGGGGTGGGGGGAAAGCCTGCTGCAACTGCCAATCCAGGAATTGTAATGTAGAGAACTGAATTCAGAATTAAATGGCGAATTCCTAAAGAAAGAGAAAAAGCAAAAAGCACAGGCAATGTTTTAATCAGGGGTGTCCAACCTGGGCCATTTTAAGACGTATAAGACTTCAACTCGGCTGGGGAATTCTGGGAGTTGAAGTCTATAAGTCTTAAAATGGCCCAGGTTGGACACACACACACACACACACACCAGTTTTAACACTTCTACCCCGTTTGCAGGACTATGTCTGATGTTTTTCTGAACAACAGGCAATGGAGCATCTGGGATCAGAGAGTCAACCAAAATAAACCAAATTGAAATCTGTCCAATATAATAAGTATAGAGAGCTAGCTTAGCTGCAGAAACGTTTTTTATGCAACGGATTGTTATTCTTCATTCTGGCTGTTTAAAACGTTCTCCTGGGGTTAGTTTGGTTTTTTGGTATGTGTGTGTGTGTGTGTGTGTGTGTGTTTGTGCGTGTGTCTTTCCTCTGGGTGTATTTGTGTGCGACGCCGGGCAGAAAGTCCAGTACGAAAATAGTAAGGACAAATAATAAAAGTAACACAGAAAGGATATGAATAGCTTGGGCAAGGCCGATGTTGATTTTTAAAAGTTCACTAACTCACTTTTAGATGTTAACGTATGTTTTGGTGTTTCCTGTTGTTCATTGTTTAATAGTGTCTAATTCCAGCCACTCCTTCCGAAAAATCTGGCCAGGACACAGCATTGTGCAGGAAGACTTTGTCATCATATATATATATATATTTATTTTATTTTATTTTATTCACAATATATATATATTGTGAATAAAACGTTTTAACTTTTCCTGGTGATCAAGTTTTATTCACAATATGCACATACCCAGGAATCATGCTTCTATTTTTAGCATTCTTTTTAATATATACATACATACATACATACATACATACATATATTACTGCTGGGGGTTTTTTTCTGGATGGGGCTGATTTTATTGGTATTTGGTGTCTGTGCAAAAAGGTATTACGCAAGATTTTGCACAAATATGAAATAAGTAGGCTTAAGATAGGTCTGTGTGGTTTCCCCACAGCCTGAGATTGAAGAATATCTGCAGACTCTTTCACAAGCCCAAGAGTCTCCAGGCAGCCGCTAAATCATAAACCATAACTAACAAACCATGATGGCTGCGTATCGTGGTTTGGCTTAGCCTGTCACCTAATCCTGGGTAGTGGTTAGATTGCAAGGCTGTTCATCGTGGGGCTTCTTCTTGGTTAGGCAGAAAAAAAAGCACGCTGTGACTTCACCAGGCATATTTTCCCGAGAGCAAGCTCTATATATCGCCTATTTTATGATCTCCTTCGGAGGAAATAGGTTCGGCCTATCGATTGAGTGATTTAATTAAAAGATCACTGGCCCAGTAGCCCCCACCTTTCAGATCAGATGAAAAAGAAGAATCTGAAGGAAACGGGAGGGAGGTCATATGGCCTTATCTCCCATTTTAGAATAAGAGTGAGTTAAGTCATAGGCCCAAATCCAATTTGGTGGCTTCCGAAGCTTGTTCCAAAGGTGCCTTTTTTCCAAAATGCAACTGGACTTTCTTGGTGTTTTTTTTTTTTCCTTTGAAAACATTTGGCTTCTCATCCAAGAAGCTTCTTCAGGGAAGGGAAGGGAAGAAGGGAAGGGAAAGGAAGAAGGGAAGGGAAAGGAAGAAGGGAAGGGAAGGGAAGAAGGGAAGGAAGAAGGGAAGGGAAGGAAAGAAGGGAAGGGAAAGGAAGAAGGGAAGGGAAGGGGAAGGGAAAGGAAGAAGGGAAGGGAAGGGAAGAAGGGAAGGGAAGGGAAAGGAAGAAGGGAAGGGAAGAAGGGAAGGGAAGGGATAGGGAAGGGGAAGGGAGAAGGGAAGGGAAGGGAAGGGGAAGGAAGAAAGGAAGAAGGGAAGGGAAGGGAAGGGAAGGGAAGGGAAAGGAAGAAGGGAAGGGAAGGGAAAGGAAGAAGGGAAGGGAAGGGAAAGGAAGAAGGGAAGGGAAAGGAAGAAGGGAAGGGAAAGGAAGAAGGGAAGAGAAGGGAAGATGGGAAGGGAAGGAAAGAAGGGAAGGGAAAGGAAGAAGGGAAGGGAAAGGAAGAAGGGAAGGGAAGAAGGGAAGGGAAGGAGCTTCTTGCATGAAAAGCAAAATGTTTTCAAAGGGAAAAAAACCCAAGACTGTCCAGTTGCATTTTGGAAAAAAGCACCTTTGGAGCAAGCTTCGGAAGCCACCAAAATGGATCTGGGCCTACGACTTAACTCACTCTTATTCTAAAATGGGAGGTAAGGCATACGACCTCCTCCCGTTTCCCCATCTTAAACAGTTCTTCAGATTTTTTTCTTTTCCATCTGATTCGAAAGGAAAACATTTTTTTGGGGGGGGGAGAAGCACTTTTGGGACCAGCATGACCTTGGAGGATGGAGCACCTCCACAGACTTTCTGCAGCTTGCTTTCCTTAGGACAGTGTTTCTCAACCTTGACCATTTTAAGGCATGTGGACTTCAACTCCCAGAATTCCACAGCCAGCAGTGCTGGCTGTGGAATTCTGGGAGTTGAAGTCCACATGCCTTAAAATGGTCAAGGTTGAGAAACACTGCCTTAGGATGAGAGAACGTTGTTTGGGCGTCACTTTGAAATAGGAGATCTGTTAATTTTACGGCGTGCGTCTCAAAAGACAATTGTCTCAAAAGACAATTGTCAGACCTTTCCAGAAATCAAAAACAGAAATTCCATCAGGCTGTAGAAGAAAAAAAAAAAGGGGGGGGGGGAAGGTCTTGGCAAATTATTGTGGTGATTGTGACTCCTGTGTGGCTGACAAAAGGGAAAAAGACTCAAGTCAGCTTAAAATCTCTGAGGAGACGATCGGAATGCAATTTTGTTATGGCTACATCTGCGCCCCAAGCATCACGGATGCTGTGATGTTCTGATTTACTGAAGGAATCGTCTGAATCCTAGACTCAGCCAGCGTCAGCAGGAGACGTAAAACG